GGGGTGTTGCAGAACAGCCGCTGTATTGAGGTCCTGATGCGAGAGCAGGGTCTCGCTAAAGCCTGGCCCCTTTCCCCAGACCAGCTAGCTGATTTTGATTTGGCTGCAATGCTGACCCTGGTGTTTTCTCGTCGGCAGGATCTGAGGCCGCTGTACGCGGGGCGATGTCAGTACTACTCCAAGAGTACAACCCCACCGGAGGTGAGAGCAGGTTCAGCTGTCTCTGTGAAGGGGCCAGCTTCATGGCGCAGGTGGAGGAACCTGCTGCCAGGCTGCTGCTCCAGTGTCCTGGAGGTCTGCGAAGCGAGGAGGGGCGGGAGCGGGGTGCTGAGAGGACTCGGTGGGAATCCCTTGTGGAATCGGTACTGCCCCATTAGTGAAGGAGCAGGTGGAGAGGAGGGGATGGGGGATAGGAAGATACACCGGTTTCTCTAGATCTTCGGTCGCACATTCATTGCAGGACGGGGTGGTGGGTTGAGTTCAGACAGCAGTAATTTCTGTGGATGTGAGCAATATATACCAGCCTCTGCAGCTCTGCTGTCTGTTGTCTTCCCCAAAGAGAAGCCCATTGGGGACGGATATTCCTGCCGCATACTGAGAGCATGTGTGGACATCTCTGGCTGCCTTTGCTGTGCACTGAGAGTCTCTCTTAGATTTCCTCACAAGTTCCCAAGTAGTTTTGAATAAACACTATATTCTAAATTAAAATGCCTGCTTGAGGTGCAAAGTACGTCCTACACAGTGGCATTGGTGAGGTCCGTTCTCTTTTCAGCCCAGAGACCGTCCATGTGAGCTTGGGTCTTGCTACCCACAGGCAGAGACTTAACTGTTTTAGTCAGTTATTCACCAATATGGGAATCTTGCTCTCAGTTTGTGCCATCCGATTGATAATTCTTTGCTCTAAGTTGCTGTGTGGTGAGGAGTGCTAGTTCAGCAAGGTCTTGGCTGCTTCTGAGAGTTGCACAACCCCCTTCCTACGCAGGCATGTGCTTATCTATGACTTCCCCATGGTGGAAGGAAACACTGGTCTGTTCTAGTCTACTGTGTCCGTATTCCAGTATAACTGTGTACTTTGTAGGAGCTGTGCTGCAAGATAAGGAAAGAAAAATCTGCCTGGAGACCAGTGCAAAATCTACATGTAGAGCAGGCCAAATAGCAGCAGGAACCGTGTTTGGTGATGATATCCTTATGTGCTTTACATTTTGGGTTTTTTTTCTGGATTCACACAGGCAATCTGTCACCCACAGCGCCGTGCACCCTGCACACCGAAAATAAAAACCAACACCTGCTTCTGCTGTGACCTGTACAACTGTGGAAAGTGAGTAAGCTAAAAATACCATTCCTGGCCGTGGGAAGGGCGAGCAGTAGTCGTGCTGGTTTGCAGGTGTCTGAAGAGCCAGGATAAGGCAGGAACAAAGTATTGGTTAATGACAGCTGTTGTGGGAAGGGATCTTAAGCTGTGGTTGCTAGCCACGGGGACTCCCAGGCAAAAGGTAACTGATTAAAGGGGTGTATGAAATGCACTAAAGCCGTCCCAGCTATGGGTGAGCCGGGCCAGCCCGGCTGGAAAAACAAAGAGAGCGCAAGTTTCCATTACTCCCATGCTTGGTGCCTTCCCCAGTTTTGCCCTCGTCGAGCATCCCTTGTCCTAATGCTTTCCTTCTCTGTTGGCACTGCTTGTTCGCTGGGTTTTATTTTGGTTTAGAAGATTGAAGATATAAAAACTGGGACACTGTTGTTCTTCACCTTCTCACCGTTTCATTCCCCGCCCTGCTAACAGGGAGGAGGGTTCGCAGGCTGGTGCCACCTGCATGTTCATAAATCAGTGTCCTCTCTGCCCAGTGAATATTTTTCATGGTCACAAGAGGTTGGAAAGTGTACCAGCACTGTGCAAAGATGAGCCAGAAGAGTGGTTCCAGTCAAGCACCACTGCATAGTGATCATGCCATCGTTAGATCTGGCTACTGTGCCTAAGTCAACTTAATTTACAGCATGCGGTGCTTATATCATTTGGAGCGTCTAATGTGTGTCAGCAAGCAATTAATAAATTGATTTTTTTTTTTTTTTTAAAGCTGGCTCTTGCCTAGGGCTGTTTCAGGCTTAGCATTTCTCACAGTACTTAGCTGGGCTGGTCCCCACTTAAATCATTGACTGTGGTGAAGATCAAAAGCTGCTGTTGGGAGAGGGTGGTTCCGCGTGCTGGGAATGGTAATCCCTGGTCTGTAGGACTTGGTTTCTGTGGAAGCCACTGCAGAAGGGTGAAGCTCATGCTTTCCTTTGACAGTTTACAGAACACGATCCCGTTTTACTAGCTGAAGAGAACGATACACAGAGAAGTGATTGGAATAGAAAAACTTGTAACTTTTCTGGTTTTACTTTTTTCTTTTTTTTTTTTTCTTTCCCCCAGTCAGACTGGTTCAGGTTCCTGCCTCTGACCCATTTTCCCCTCTCTGATAAAAGATATCAGTTGTTGCCATCTCAGTCTTGCTTAGTGCCACATAAGTGTTCTGCACTGAGGAGGTGCTGGTTCTTTTGGGATCTTGGTAAAGGCATGGACACTTGAGGCTGGTTAGCTCACGTATTATGTAAAGGATGGAAATTATAGAAAAAGTGACAGCGATCTTGCATCCCTCCTGATGCTGGGAACCCTGGCTGTGGTAGCATCGGATGAGCCGCTTCCCGCTGATAAGTACATGCTGTTCTTACCTCTACAGTGCTAAATGTTCTCGGTGGTACACGAAGGCCGGCTGAGAGCTTTACACTCGCACGTCTCCTTAGGAATGAGCTCTTGCAAACAGTACATGCAGGTTGTGTTGTCACAGCAGTCGCGGTATGTGCTCAGGTTATACAGAGGTCATGCAGGCTAACGTACGGGTTTTTACAACCCATGGTTACACTCTGCCTCGATTCTGCTTGAAATCCCCGTCTCCTCGTTGCAGTGTCTTCTGCAGTGGCCTGCTACAACAAGATATGGAATAGAGGAAAAGAAGAAACTGAAATTGAGCAATGAGGGAAGGAGGGTGGCCCTTGTGAAAGGGGGCAAGTTCCTGCAGGCCTTGCAGAGTCTGCTGGGGAGCTGAGCCTGGATCTCCTGCTTCTTGGCTTAAATATGAATCTGTTCTTCCCCATTTCCTCAAAGCCCCTGTGCAGTTTGAGCCTAACCCTGTATGTGAGATAAGTCATTCATAAGCCCTTAGTATTGTTTGTCCCCGATAAATACATTTTCTTAGGGGGAATTTGCTACGCTGAAGGCCAGCCTCTTCCCCCAAGCGGCAGTCAGAGAAGTCATTGCCGAAGAATCCCGCCTGCAAGACTCCAGCACTGCTCTTCCCTTTCCAAAATAACAACCTAAGTGGATTCAACTGAATTTTCTCCATCTCTTTTCTGCATGTGGAAAAACTTAAAAATGTGAGCAGAAAGACCTCTCCCTGCCAGGGTCCCAGGGGTCCTGCCAGCCCATGCCATTGTAGAGCTGCGAAGGGCAGGCACCTGGAGCAGAGCAGCCGAGTTGGAGGAGCTCTGTGGCCGAGCCCTGTGGTGCCAGGAGGCCAGCTGTGCTGTCCTGTGCCCGTCCCAGCCAGCTGTTCCTGCAGCTGTGAGGAGCAGGGGGGCAGCTCCTCCGGACACGGACTGATTTCCCTGGGTAATTCCAAGACCGGTTTGTCCCTGGGAAGCCTCCAGGATCTCTCTGGAGATTTCAGATGATAGACTCAAGGTCATTTGGGTATTTGCAAGCCTTGCAGGACTTGTTTGTTTCACAACAGATCCAGCCGTCTTCTGCCGTTGTCGTGCAGGGAGACCTCAGATGCCACAAGCGTGGGATCTAGCAGGCGTTATCCCCACTCCCTCGGTAGTTAGGTCCAGGCTATCGTTAAATTGCAGAATGCATTTTACTGCCCAGCAGAAGTGCTTAGGTTTTGTGATGTGTGGTGCATTTTTTTAACATTATTGCTGTTTTTTTTCTAATCTAGCAGAGTCGAGATTTCTGGAGGCTACTATGAATACATTGATGTCAGCAGCTGCCAGGACATCATCCACCTTTACCACTTGCTTTGGTCGGCAACAATTCTGAACATAGTGGGGCTATTCCTAGGGATCATTACAGCAGCAATACTTGGAGGCTTTAAAGACATGGTAAGATGGTACCAATTTCTCTGTGCATTAGAGGAAACAAATGAGGCCTTGTAAAAATAATCATGAAAACAGCTATTGGTATTTCAATGCAAATGATTTATGCATCACTGCAATCAGGCTGGAAAGAAGGGCATGAAATAATTGTAAGGAGAAAGTGGAAATGATTTGCTCTTCTGATCTGGTGTCACCAGCTGAACACAATTAGAAAAGATGAACAGAATTGGGAGACCGTATTTGCAAAAGGAAGGTTCTCAGAGGTGTTCACAATACTGGGATGAATAAAAATAAGCTTTTTCTTAAAAATTGATCTTCCTTTTCATAGCATTGGCCTTCTACAAGGAAATGTCTGGTGGTTGCTCATGAATTGTTATTTTATAGCAGTAGTAGGGTTCTGAGCTTTACAGACTGTTTAAGCAGCTGTGTTAGGCTGAAACTCTCCATCTAGTTTCTTCATGGCGCAGAATCTGAGATGGTGAGCTGGGAACTGAAACCAGGTGAATGATTGCAAACTTCAGATAATGGGAAAAGTGCTGTTCTGACAATGTGAGCTTTGAAATATCCTCACTTAACCAGGCTGTCTGTTACCTTCCATGCAGTTCTGTTCGGCAGAGGACAAATCAATGGGGAGAACTGAACGTTCAACAGATAAATTTGGAGGTTTTTTCAGTCTGTTGTGACTTGTTCAGAATAATACCAAATGAGACACCCAGAAGAGAGTGTTTGTTGTCCTGGCAATACATTTTTCTTACAAACAAATCTTGGGCCCTGCCCTGCGGGTGCTTTATTTCAGAACTCCAAACTTTCCTACACTCAGGGTCACCAAGATCTTCCCAAACAAAACAGGAGACACGTTCCCAGCTGTGCATCGTGGCCTTTTGAGATTTGATCCACACCAGACAGCCTGTAAACCTCTGCAAAAAAGAATGTATAGAACTGTCTGTGAACAGCAGTACAAGAGGAGTTGAAATATGCTGATCTCAAAATGCACTGAATAACAGAGTAATCAAATTTAATGGATTCTTTCTCCTGCTTGTGAAGATGCAATCTGAACAGTTGTTTTGTTTGAGTACTGGCATGCGCTGGGCCATTGCCAGCTGCTTCTGGTGGCTGAGGAATGAAATGACCTCGGGACTTACCTGCTGCCTAAAAGGGAACCGGATTGCCGGTTGCTAATTTGACAAAGTTGAGGTCTAAAGACACACAGTGCTCCTTTTAAACAGTTTCCGCTTTCATTGAGCTGTTGGCTTTCTGTGACTTGGTTAGAAGCCTGAGATTGTCTTCTTTTTTGTTTCAACAGACTCCTTCCCTCCCTACGCTGAACTGTACGGTTGAAAATGCACACCCTTCCGTGTCCTACTACTCAAGGCCACAAGTGACATCTTACAACACCTACTACCACAGCACTCCCCACCTGCCTCCCTACTCCGCATACGACTTTCAGGTAGGGAACGTTACAGGATGTTTTTGTGTTTAGCAGCGAGGTTAAATCCAGCTGGCCTGCAGGACTCTGGAGGCCTGTCTTCCCGTCGTTAATTTTCCTGTTTCTGCAGAGAATACCAAGTCTTTCCTACTAGGCGTTGGACCTTGGCTCTCTCTTACTAAGGCAGTGTTTTCCTCAAAGCTGTCCTTGAAGAGAAGGCAACAGAACCTTGCTGCCTGCCTCCCCTGTCGTTCACTGGTAGAGGCCACATTAAAAATAGGCATTGCCTCTGGCAGTGCTCTGAGGACAGGCAAAGCGAGGTGTTCAGGTGCTGGTTTTTATTAGGCCAACCGCGATGTCTGAGAGAAACAGATGAGCTTTTGGAATCAAGCTATTTGAGCTCCTGCAGGCATATACTGACTGAGAAGCTACTCTGTGGTGGTGGTTTTTCCACACGCTTCAGCTGGTCTAAGAACAGTCCCTGCAAACGTCACCTCTGCCGTAACGCATCATTCCTCTTCTGAGGTATGGAGCTGTGCTGTTGGAAACAGTGAGTTCATGTGAACCTTGCTGTCAACATCGGCTTTCACTTGTTGAAGCAGATGAGGGCATTTCCTCCTCAGCTTTTCTGTCAGGTGGATGTTACCACAGTGGTGATGTTAACACATCATACGTTTTCTTTGCAACCATCAGGCTGGAGACTTTTTATTAACAAGAGCTTAAAGTTTTGCACCTCAGCTAAGAGGTGTGCCCCGTGAATAGCCACCATCTCCCTCATCTGAGCTTTGCATTAGAGGTAACGTGAATCTGGAAACCTCTCTGATTTTACTGCTAGTACCGCTAGACAACATCGTAGAAATATTTGAACACTTACATCAGAATTTCTAGGACTTATTTACACAGATTTGTGACTCATTTTTGAGATTAACACAACCTGGGACAGTCTCTAGTGTGGTATAACCTTTTACATTACAAAATACCAACCTCTGCACACACCAAACCAAGCTCTGCTGCGAAGTCCTCTTAGCTGGCACTAAGCGCCAGTTAACTCGGGGTTTGCCTGTACTGCAGCCACAGTACCAGCAGAGCTCAGCATGGGAGGATTTGTCCTGCTTTTCAACTAGAAGTACTGCTGGGGCTCTGCTGGCACTTACCTCTCAGCCGGATGGATGAACATCTTTGTGTCTCACTGCTGTGAGCACAGGTGTTGGCTTCGGAGCCGGCAGAAAAGCTGGGCACAAATTGAAGTAATTGAATTTAAAATAGCCAAGTCTCCTTTCAAATGCAATTCCAAGTCTGAGCCTTGCTTATTCTTCCAGGGAACTTGAGAGCCTGCATGAAAGCATTAGCTGAGGTCTCTGGCTGTGGAGACTCTGTCTTGCCTTGAGCCCTGCTCTGACCCGAGCAGTGTCTGTACCACCCTGACACCTTCTCCCTTGCCATCTTACAGCACACGGAGCAAGTTCAGCTTTGCCTCTCAAATCCCTTTCAAGGGCTGCACTCCCTCTAGTGCAAGAATTGGCCAAGTCAGTGCTTCCCACTCATCCCACCCATCTCGGTATCTCACTTCTCGCTCTGTGTGCTTGGTTGGGGACAATCGGGTGAGAAAGTCTCAGTCCTGCAGCTTTTTAACTTCTGCAGACCCTGAGCTGTGTTTGGCTCTGACAAGAGAACACACAGGAGTGGTGGCCAGCTCTGCCTTTCCCTCCCTGTCAAAAGAGGAATTAGTGCCTTCTTCCCAGCCGCCGGCTTTGTTAACAAAGCCAGGCTGTTGCCTGCAGTCCATGTGAGCCAGGCTTGCTTGCAGCCACAGCAGCTGTCCGCCAGGACTCGTGGCTGCGGCTGAAGCAGCTGAGTGCAGGCACTTTGTTGCTGTGAAAACCCAGGGCTGCATTTGCTAAGGAGTGCCAGCACCGTATTGCCGCAGCAGTGCCCTTCCAAATGTCTTTTCAGTCTGGGGGCTCCCACCCATTGGGCTTTAGGTGAACTGGGGTGTGCTGGAAGAGCTGTTGTGTTTGAAACAGGAACGTTTTGTATGGCTTTCTGTGAGGTCCTCAAAGAGCAGGTTGGCCTTTCATGGTCTATATACCCGCTTAATAAACCGTCACAGGTTGGTGTTAGGGGAGTGGCACCAAAAAAAGATGCTGTTTGAAAACAACCAGCTATTACCGCAAGAGTCCATCATCCCTGCACAGGGCGCAGCGTGACCATCAGGGATAAAATCATGGTGTATTACTGGCCAGAGGAGCGAATGCAAGGGACTGTGTTTCACTATTTGTCTGACCCGTTTCTGGACAGAACACAGCCTGTGCACAGGTCTCTGACAGTGACTGCACCATATGACTTCAGGCTTTAGATGTTTTTTTATAACAAAAGTATTTTGGAGAGCAGAAATTAATCTTCAGGCATGCACAAATTTTGTTTCTGCACCTTTTCAAGCTTTTTACTTACTGAAGGAATAAATTATTTTGCTTTCAGTAATTTCTGGGGTTTTTCTATTTGTGATGAAGAGAAAAAGTAGTGTCAAAAGAAATTATCTGTAGCCTGTTCGCTGTAGTTACTGGATGATGTGTGAAACCCAAGATTTGAGAGAGACTCATCAGTTTTCAGTTGTCGAGCCTCTGTGAAATGTAGCAGGTACACAGAAGTGATGAGAATTTATTCTTTTTTTTTAAATGCCTTCTACAGTTTTCGGTCTAAAGAATCTTATTATGCAAAACTGTTACTTACAGGCTGTGCTTACCTTGAATGCAACAAGTTATTTGAATACTTATTTGTATGTATATATGTTTTGCAGAAGTGAGCCTTGAAATGTTAATTTTGCACTGCTTGGTAACGAATCGCTTTGCCAGGGTCCTTTACGTTAAGAAGTGGTTACATTACAGCCTTCTTGCTGTCTCCCTGCAGCATTCCAGTGTGTTTCCAGCCTCCACTCCTTCTGGCCTCTCCGATGACCCCCAGTCAGTGTCACCATCTCCCAGCTATATGTGGTCCTCTAATGCGCCGCCTCGTTACTCGCCACCGTATTTTCCACCTTTTGAAAAGCCACCACCTTATACACCATAAAGAGTGTGGGAAAGAAGAAAAAAAATATTTGCCATTGAAATAATTGTGAACATTTTGTATTTATATTTTACTGTGGGAGGGAGCAGGAGGATAGATACAGAAGATAATTGCAAATACAAATATTAGCTTGGACTGTTCTTTCTTGCGAGACTTTTTTCGGAGGTTTAACAACGGAGTATGAGGAAGGAGCCATACTGCTGATGTTTTGCAGTATCGGTGAGTAGCAGGTGACCTAAATTCCAGCCTCCTTGTTTTACCACAAGTAGTCCTTGGTTTTTAATAAAGCGATACAACACAGATGATAGATTCTGGTCTGCCTTACTCCATCTTGTGCCAAGCTGAAGTAAGGGCAGCCAAGATCGATAGTTGCCAGAGAGTATCAATCTGTTTAACATGAGTGTGTTTGCTGACAGCTTGATTTGATGCTCGTTTTGTTTGGCCTTGGGGCTCCAGTTACTGGGATTTTGGGGGGCAGCAGAACCTAGCTCAAGTCACTTGTTGGTTACAGCCTACGCACTGGAAAAATCTTGGGGGTAACCATGGCAGGGTCTCAAACTTTAATGCTAATGAAAAGACATAATGTCATAGGATATTTTTAATTATATCTAGCAAAACAATTGGAATATGGCTTTTTTTGAGGGGAAAAGCTTTAATAGGCAAGCTGGCTTTATTTCAGGATGCTTCTTAAGATGGAAGGTGAAATGGAGTTGCCTCTCTCTGAATTCTGTGTAAGCAATGCTGAAGTCAAACAGTTTGGGTGGTTGCACTGCCTAAATCCTCTTCTATTCCTATAAAGAGCATCAGGAACTGTCCACAAGTCACTGAAACAGTGCAGTGAAAACATTATTATTATTATTTATTATTCCCTTCTGTTTGGTTGGGAAATTTTTTTTAAGCTTGCACTTTTAACTTTTTTAATGGACTGAATCAGCACCCTAAATAAGCACTGTTTTAGTAGCTGTATTATGGGCTGCACATAAGGAATATCCACTACTACTTCTCCAAGATGTAAGTCTCACATGGATAAAATTCAACACCCTGTAATATAGGATGAAACTGATAGGAATTTGCAATTATTGTTGTGACTTTCATTTAATCTTCAGCTGATGACTGTGCTGATTAATCTAGATTCCAACAGATTTTGCATGCATCCTGCATAACAAAAGAAGGTCAGCTTTGTTATGTGACACGCTGTCATGTAAAGTGTGGTTCTACTCCAGGAAGTGATTTCAGATGACAGCGTTCAGATCTGAGCTGCTCAACCTGAGCATTCTCAACTGCTTACTTCAGGGATAAAAATAAGGTATTGACATTTTACTCCTTATTTCCTAAAGATTTGATTTCTTTGGCATCAGGTTGTTGACCCCTAATCCTCAATTATCTGCCTTTACTTTCAACTGATGCAGACAAAAAGGTACTTAAAAGCTAAATCTGGCTGTCAGAATCTAAAAGTGGAATACATGCTAGGGGAAAAAAAAAACCCCTCCAGCTGGATTTTAAAATGTGGCATGTCTCTACTTTTAATAAAAAAAAAAAAGCTGTCAACATGGAAAACAAACACTGAAGTCTCTGATCTCACTTTTCAAAGTACACCCACACTTTATAATGCTGTTTTTAATCCTATGCATTTGCAAAGCCTTTAGGCTAGGCTATGTGTTAACCTTATCATTTCCACTGTCAAATACTAATCAGTGTATTAGTAAGCTAAAGGATGTCACTGTTTATCCAGAAGCAAGTGTAACTTTTCTCCAGTAACAACAATAAACGGCTGGAGAAAGGAATACAACTCATGGGATTTAAAGCAGTAGTGTATGCAGAACATATCCTGGTGACATTTTGTTTTACTATAGATTGTTGAAGAGCAGCTCCTATAAATTTGCATACTGGAAATAAATTTATATACTAGGCCATCATCCATTTTATATTACATTTTCCTGAATTAAATCTTGATATGAAGATTGTGGGCAATTTCAAAACAGACAGTACTTCCACAAAACTAGAATTAGAAGGGCACATTAATATCAGAAAACATTTTATTGCTGCATCTTTGAAATAAAAGCTAACAGTCCTGTCCCACTTCTGACTAACATACTCTACCATTTGTGCCTGTCAACTAAATAGGGCTAGAAGGACTAGGGGACACAACAGGACTAAGAAACTCATGAGGGGAACATAACTTAGTGGCAGAGAAACAATTAGGAAATGATTGTGTCATTGGTTTCGAGTTGACAAATACTAAACTTAGGAAATTATCCAAATTCTTTCTTTTTTTCCTAAGGAATACTTAAGCAAAAATTACATTGCTGCTTTAAATTCACTATAAAAGGATAAGTCCATTTTCACATTTAAAAATATTACCAGTGGTATTTTCTGTTGAATTACTCGTTTCCTTCTGCTTGAGTAAAACAAAGCATTTAATGTAAATGCAACATTCTGCACTGTATTCATCATTTCTTATGAGAATGTCAAGATTGTGACTCATATGTACCCTTTTATTACTTTACCAAAGTTAAATAAAATTGTGTGACTTTTGTAAACATTTATAAATTGCATTTCACATTTTAACAACTCTCCTGTTTTACAAGCATCTTTAATGTTAGTCTAGGAATTCTAGTAAAATAGCATTGTGCCTTTAAAAAAAACCAACCACAAAACAAGTTCCCGAAAAACCCCTGTATTTGCTAAATTGGAAACTGGTGTTTCTACCAGGATTAGCTGTAGACACCTTTTTAAAAAAAAAAATATCTGGTTTTAAGAGCCGCAGATGCCCCCACACTTAATAATTCTGCAGTTCTACCCCTATAACAGGGTGCCTTGACTGCCTATCAGCAGTAAAGCCGTTACTGCTGATTTTTTGCTTAACACAGAGGTGAATAATCCAGCCAGTGCAATGCCAGTGTCTCCTTTACTTACTTTCATGTTTACTATATTACTTTGGGCCTAATTCTGTCCTGATGATGTCAGCTGTTCTTTGATGTTAGCAGAAGTAGGTGGAAGATAAAGGCATCTGAACCATCATTTGATATGTTACGTAATAAATTGCATTCCTTACCTGGAGTAAGAAGTCTACATAAAGTAACTAATTTTCTCCATGTTAGCCAAAGTTCACCAACAATCTAACTCTACCAAATCGTAACTAGTCAGCAGCCTGATAAGAACTGCATTGCATTGCACTGGTCGCTATGTACGTTTTTTCTTGATTTCTAGCTCATTTGCATTGATAGTAGTAATTGGACAGACTGTTCCACAGCAGCTCCACCTATTCTGAAAGTAAGCATATATCACAACATTCAGCTCACAATACACGGTAGAGTTTTTCAGCTAATTTGCTCAAAAAAACCCCCCAAAATCAAAACCAAACTACCCCAGCAAAAAAACTAAGCCCCAAATAAAAACACCTCTCCCTCCCTAGTGGGTTCCCTGCTACTCCCAAAGACCTGGAAAAGGAAGATACAAACCATTGGTAATCTAACATGTTAGACTATTGAAGTTGAGTTGTCATTAAAAAGAAACGTGCTACACCCATCTTTAGAATTAAACTTTTTTTATTTTTTGCCATAGAAAGCTCTAAGAACTAATATCAAGTATTGATTAATGAAAAGTAGAACACAACTTTAAAAAGTATGTTAAGGAAAGACTGTACAACTATATACATTACAGATCTGGCAAAAATGATAAGTGTTTCACATAGAACAGTTCCTAAGCAATAGCTGTAGAACCCAGGGCTCAATGTATATAGTCGTCAGCTTCTGCATCTTTTTATAAGCTGCATGCCTTAACAGTACAAAATAAATAAGCAGTCAATTGTTATCTCAATATTTGTTTAATTCACATACTGGAATGCTATGGTATGAATCCCCAAAGAAACCATACAGTGAGGATGCACCCACCATTATCATATTTTGCAGCAGATCCATTAATGTTTTTATATGAATATAAATGACTGTGAGGTTTGTCACCATACTCTGTTGAAATTTTTAATTTTTATATAAATCCTTTTTCAGATTTAATCTTTTTCTTCCATTACCCCAAAGCCAATTTCTTAGTATTTACATAAGGTTTTTTATTAAGTTAAACTGGAAGCTAAGTGTTTACAAAAACAAACAAACAAAAAACCAAATATAAGTGCAATATCCAGAAATCTAAATATAAAAGCTCATGGCCCCATAAAAAGTTTTAAAAGCATGGATTTAATATGTTTCCAAACCAATAAATACTGGAAGTGAAATTAAAAAAAAAATGCTTTACATGACCTCTGGACTTTGGATATCAAAAATCACTTCCAAGGAAAACTGAAGACCCTGAGACACATGCAAGCACGAGTCTTCTAGCAAAAATAGTTACAAAGCCCTAATTTTCCAGTTTTCCTCCAAAAAGAGACCTTTAGTAGGCACAGTTTAATTTAAGGTTTTAAATATATCAGCAGCAAATATTGATAGCCATTATGTTTAATTATTAATGAATGTACACTTTGCAAGGTATGCTTAATTCCAGATGTGTCATGTCAATAACGAAAATAACATTGTATTTTTCTTGTCAAGAAGTTCAGGAAGCTTCAATACAGCACGCAGCCAGCTATGCTGGAGCTACCGGTGCTAATACAGGCAATCAATACTTAAGTCCTGTGAGGATTAGGTTTGACTGCTGAAATGCCACCTCAGACAACATCCAACCTGTAACATTTGAAAACATACCCCATTATATTCAAAGGGGTCTGAAAGATGATCTGGAAATAACCATGTATATCATGTTCTTGGCCTACAAAACAGAAGTGCTGAGCACTACATGCATAAGGTAAACAAATCCTCCTCTTTCTCCCATCGTTACTCATACAGATTTCTGGTACCCTTTTTTATCACTCAGGTTGACTTTGAACCATTTACCATTTAAATGCCTTTCTGTCTAGAGCACTGTATGTCTAAAACCTTAACCTTGAAGGTCACAGGATCAAGATGCTCACTTAAAAAATGAAAAAGAAAAGAAAAAAACCTTGAACTGTAATTTAAGCAATGAAAGATTACGATAACTATCTAGTACTATGCACGACAATCTTTCTCAGTCACCTCTAGAACTTGAGCAGTTTTCATATTACCATTTACAAAAATTGAACAAGTCACTAAATTTGAAATGCTAAGCTATGATTCCAGGAAACAGCTGTTTGTTTTTCTCAGATCTACCGTTTCCTGTTCAAGTTGCACATCTCATTTATCTTCTAAGTGCTTTAAATATGTACCAATTGCAAGGAGAGGGGGAAAAAAAAAAAAGGATAATATAATAAACCCCAAACTGAGAACAAATGACAACGAGACAACTGCAGAGAAATTATACTTTGGATTATGGTAGATGTAGGGTCTTTTTTGATTGCTGGTTTACTCCTCATGCTTCCACACCCTATAAATGGAGGGAAAAAAATCCAAATCCTTGTTTCACTTAAAGATCTAGCCAAATAGGTATACAAGATTCTCAGCACTCTCAGTGCTGAACCAATACAGCACTTAGATTATTTCATAGTTTTGAGAAGTAAATTTCAAAGCCTTCAGCTAAAAAAAAAGTATTACTTTTATTGTATTACTTTTTTTTTTTTTTAAATACTAGACTGAAGCCCTTCTTCTTGAAGAGCAAAAAAAAGGAACAGTACTTTATTCCAAACTTTATGCCAAAAATACTGGTATCTTTTCCAGTACTAAGAAAAGCTAACATTATGCCTCAAGCTTTGAAAAGGCAAAATTATCTCCTCCCTAAGTGTTCTAAGCTTCCTCACAACTGAGCTTTGTAGGTTTGGGGTTTTTTTCCTCATTGCAAAAGGAGTAAAAATATAATGGTCCAGACACTGAATACTCTGCTCACCGTATTGCCAAGTATAAATGAAATTTGTTCAAGTTAGCCCTAACTGAGCGTCTCTTGTTGGCAAGACTATTTGCATGAAGACAGATAATTCATAGTGCTTGTGAAAGCAGAACTAAGATGCTAGTTCAAAAATACACTACTCCAAACTACTGGATCAGTTATTTTGGACTCTTGCAGTAATGCATTGTTTGCAAAAATAAATATGAGTTGTGGGATTTATTTTTTTTCAAATGGTTCCATATTGGAGAGACTGATGAAAAGTCTGTTTTCTTGGTTAACATCTAAACACAATTCAGCATTAAAGTGCTAACATGAAAGAAAGGGTTTACACAGTAAGTATGAGTACAGGAAATACTTCAATTACTTTAGAAGAAAGATTTCTAGCTCTTCTGAAGAAATTGTACCTTTTCAAGCTACGAACCCCCACGTTTTGATCAAAATTAACATACCAGAAAACACTGCCAGCTCCTTGGAAATGTCTTATTCTCTAGTCAAGTAAGCTTTCAGATGAATCGCTTCCACAAATCACTTGCAGCTACTAATGATCCATCTAAGCGCTACCATTTGATGACTTGTAACAAGTTAACTTGTTTTCACTTTAACATTTGATTTTACAGCAATTTTAACAGTTCATTTAAAATAGCTGCAATATTCCTGCACTTTTCCAGCATTTAATGCATTTCAGTATGATTCCGGTATTACAAACTCAAATTCAGTACTTCCCTCCGATGGATTTTGTTTAAAAATTGCTTCGTTTCCCTGTGGAATGAAAATGTCATCCCAGGTAATTTGTTTGGATGGAGGGTTAGATGTTGTTCCTTCAGTGCCATCCTTCCCTGCACCAACACGATAAACAATTCCACCCTCGTTTATTACTGGTATACTGCTTGAGTGATCGGTAACGTATGCATACTGTCTGATCTGCAAAGACCTGCAAGGATGCAATCGATAAAGCTTGGTATCTCCAGAAGGGTCTTGGCTATGAACTGATCTTATGTGGGAGGCCGTAATTTGGTAGTTGATGAAAGATTTGCCACACGTCAAGCACTGGTACCTTCGCTCACCGGTGTGGTGAATTTCATGCTTCGTACGGTATTCTGCAAGAGGGAAAACTTTGTCGCAATATCGACATGGATACTTCTTCTCCCAGGAATGAACGTTAAAATGTCTCCGTAAACTCGTCAGACACGCATATGATCTCTTACACACAATGCAAATATAGTAGACTCTTCCATCCACTATGAGCTCGTAATGGTCATCGTGCTTTACTTTCATGCGTTTCCTGTTTGGAGAATCACCACCAGATGTTCTAGGCTTTTCATCAGGCTTCGCTTCGCCTTCCTCAGAATCACCCTTTACAGGAATGACTATGTCGTATGTATCCTCACCGATATTTGCGTAAACCTTACAGCCCGTGGATAAGCCTTCTATTTCAGTTGCTGTATCTAACGTTATGATTTTCTGCCCTTCTGCCACATGTGTTGATGCTATACCTGAACTGAATTCCTTGTTGTTTCCACTAAGGACATCTGAGATTTTTATTTTAAATTCTCCAGGTTTAGAAAATGGCTCTTGTGAAAATGTAACAACCTGTTTTTTCTGTACACCTGATCCTTCAGTGGTTGCTGCCTTAGGTATAGAAGATTGCTGAACCAAAGAGCTACTGCTGACTGAACCAGGACTAGAGGAGCTAATGATATCAACATCATCTTCAACAACCTCTTCATCATCAACAGCAGTTGTTTCCACTTCAGCTACGGAGCCATTATTAGATGGCGGCTGGTTCTCCTCGAGTAAATTAATTGTAGGGGTCACGTGTGTTTGATGCGAGGAGCTGGCACTGAGTGATGAGTTAAGTAGAGGCTTATTTAGCACAATGATATTAGGAGTCAAATGCTGCGGTGTTGCAGAGATAAGTGATTCGGCACTTGATTTTGTTTGGTTTGGGCTTAGCTGACTGGCAGACGAAGTGAGTTTTTGAGCTGCTGCGGTGCTCATCAAATGGGGAGAGCCGCCACTGCCACATGATTTTTGGTCAGAAACGCCAGCTGGACTTGGGCAAAGCTGGTTCTGGGTTGCAGCATTTGTATCTTTAGTACATTCTTTTGGAGGAACAATCTCAGAGCAAAAAATTACATCATCATCCTCATCATCTGAATCACTCACTGTAATTTTTGTAGTCTCATATTCTATGCCATGTAAGGAGAATGATTGTGTTATAACAGGCATCCCATCCGTTACCTCTTGACTCTCTGGCCTTATTACAGGTACTTGTGTTTCAGCATCCTTTTGACCTGGACTAGAAGTTGAAGTTTCTGAAGCACCATCTTTGACCTCGCTTGGCATGTTTTTTCCTTCAGACGGAGGTACGCCCAGATCAGCTATGAATTTAACACCCAGCTGTTGCCCTGATTTAATCAGTTCATCAAGTAAATCAGATCGAATGCTGATTATTTTGGAACTATAAATATAGTTAAGAATTTCTGCGAAAATTTCTGCTCTTACAAAGCTCAGTTCAACCACTTGTCCAGCCACTGAGAAAAGCTGGTGAAAATATGTGCTTGAGGCCGAAAGGATGTTTCTGTGAGCTCGAAATTTCCGGTCTTCCACAATGACAGTAACATCACAGAAAAGTCCGTGGCCGCGTTGTTCATTCAAAGACTGAAGGAGCACATTGGAATACTGTGTGTCTGTCGCAGAAATCAGTTTTTTCCCCTCCATTCCTACAAAGAGGAAGTAAAAGGCATCAAATTAGTAAATATACAAATTTATGGTTTTAACTGCATGACAACGTTCCCGCATTTACTGTTTATTCCTTCTTTTGTAAAAAGAAATCTGGGATAGTATTCCTAAGCTTAAATGCTATAGCACTCTCCAAATTTGTTGCTTATTGTTATTTGTCCCTTCACCTTTTAGACAAGGTACATGCAATTCTGCATATATCCTCTGTTCTTACAAGGTAAGGAACAGAGAAACAACTGCTTATCTGATTGAACAGCAAATAAGGTAAATTTGAAAACCAAAAAGATGCAAGATTCAGGTCCCTCAAAAAGCTACAAACATTGTTAGAGATTTATTTTTCATTGTGAAAATATTCCATAAATTGTTATGAGAAAGCCTGGTAACATCTAGGTTATTTATGGGCCAGACAACAAAATCTGTGCATCCGTATATTACCAGTCAGCTGAGGTTAATGAAAACGCTATTGATACTTCACTTCCTTGCCCACAAAAAGGAACTTCTTTTTTTTATCTCTTTCTCATATATTTGCAAGGTTGTTTTGCGTTTGAAACCAAGCTACTAAGGCAACACAGCGACGAAAAAAGATCTGTAAAGTCAAACTAATCCATCTATCAGCACTTCCGATCCGATGCTCCGCAACAAGATGCAAAAAAACCAACATCAAAATATACAAACGGCGAGATAAGGCCGTAAGTCCTGAATTTTACTCATAAAACTTTATTTCCGTACGCCTGGAAGGGCAGGAGGAGACGAAGAGGCCGCGACCCCCGGCGCCAGCCTCCCCGC